TGGAGAAGAGGGGACACATGTTGATGTAGAAGAGACATGAAGAAGAGGGGACACATGTTGATGTAGAAGAGACATGAAGAAGAGGGGACACATGTTGATGTAGAAGAGACATGAAGAAGAGGGGACACATGTTGATGTAGAAGAGACATGAGAAGAGGGGCACAGTTGATGTAGAAGAGACATGAGAAGAGGGGACACATGTTGATATAGAAGAGACATGGAAGAAGAGGGGACACATGTTTGATGTAGAAGAGACGTGAAGAAGAGAGGGGACACATGTTGATGTAGAAGAGACATGGAGAAGAGGGGACACATGTTGATGTAGAAGAGACGTGAAGAAAAGAGGGGACACATGTTGATGTAGAAGAGACATGAAGAAGAGGGGACACATGTTGATGTTAAAGAGACAGGAAGAAGAGGGGGGACACATGTGAGGTAGAAAGAGACATGAAGAAGAGGGGACACATGTTGATGTAGAAGAGACATGAAGAAGAGGGGACACATGCTGATGTAGAAGAGACATGGAGAAGAGGGGACACATGTTGATGTAGGAGAGACATGAGGAAGAGGGGACACATGTTGATGTAGAAGAGACATGAAGAAGAGGGGACACATGTTGATGTAGAAGAGACATGAAGAAGAGGGGACACATGTTGATGTAGAAGAGACATGAAGAAGAGGGGACACATGTTGATGTAGAAGAGACATGAAGAAGAGGGGACACATGTTGATGTAGAAGAGACATGGAGAAGAGGGGACACATGTTGATGTAGAAGAGACATGAAGAAGAGGGGACACATGTTGATGAAGAAGAAGACATGAAGAAGAAGAGGGGACACATGTTGATGTAGAAGAGACATGAAGAAGAGGGGACACATGTTGATGTAGAAGGATCTCCATGCAGACGAGGGACACATGTTGATTAGACGAGACTATGAAGAAGAGGGGACACATGCTTGATGTAGAAGAGACATGGAAGAAGAGGGGACACTATGTTGATGTAGAAGAGACGGAAGAAGAGGGGACACATGTTGATTGTAGAAGAGACGATGAAGAAGAGGGACACATGTGATGTAGAAGAGACATGAAGAAGAGGGGACACATGTTGATGTAGAAGAGACATGAAGAAGAGGGGACACATGTTGATGTAGAAGAGACATGAAGAAGAGGGGACACATGTTGATGTAGAAGAGACATGAAGAAGAGGGGACACATGTTGATGTAGAGAAGAGACATGAAGAAGAGGGGACAATGTTGATGTAGAATAGACATGAAGAAGAGGGGGACACATGTTGATGTAGAAGAGACATGAAGAAGAGGGGACACATGTTGTTTGATGTAGAAGAGACATGGAGAAGAGGGGACACATGTTGATGTAGAAGAGACATGAAGAAGAGGGGACACAGAAGACATGAAGAAGAGGGGACACATGTTGATGTAGAAGAGACATGAAGAAGAGGGGACACATGTTGATGTTAACGTACTTCAATGATTCAAGTTATTGTGAAAGAAAGCTCAGCACCCGTAATTGAACTGGCATAGTCTTTCTCTTTGTTCGGAAACACAGACACTGCCTGAGCAGCAAAAGAGCTTTTGGAGGAACAGGGTGAACGTGATGAATGGGCAGCAGACAGTAAATCTGATGAAAGTGCAGATCAGTGTGTATCAGTGTCAGTGAGGAGGAGCCTGTAGAGCAGCGGACAGTCCTGGGAGAGAGCGAGGTTTAATCGAGACGACAAGCTGCCACGATGCTCGGCCTTTTCCAAAGTGTGACTTCACACTGAGTCTAAATGTCACAGAAAACCTCGCACTGCGGCCGAGTGGGAAGTGAAAGGCTGTTTAGATCACTGTCACATTGAGGATCGGTAAAACGGCGAAATATGCTCGATAAACAACTGAAGAAAAACAAAAAACACTTGTTGGTAAAGTCAGTGGCTGTTTCATAGAAATGTGAATTTTACTGACACTGAAGACGCTTGAGATGTTTTTTTGTCTGTATCTTAGTTGGTGAAAAACCACGAAGGACTCAAGCTGACATTATAGTTAATAAATAAACACAGAAAAATAAATAAATTGGGAAATAAACTTGATTTATTTTGTTTTTATTCATTCTTTATTATCATAATTACATGCATATTTATTTGATAATCAAGGCTTTGAATTCTACATTTCCCTAAGGAATTATTTCAGTCATTGTTCATTCTTGTTATGGGTTGTTCATTTCTTATAAGCTTAAAGGTGGGGGAGGTAATTTTGGAGAAACCGGCTCGAGCGCGCTAGAATTTGAAAATACACAGCCGGAACAAATCTGCCACTTCCTTAAGACTTCCTTACAGAGCCCCTCCTCCAACACACAGGAACGCACACATGACCAATGAGGGCACGAGATGAGTTTGTGAACAGATGGAAGGCTGACAGGCAGGTAGGCCATCCAGTTACTTTAGCCGGGCCGGCTCAGATGATTGGTCGTGCTTTTTACAGCGCCACGGCTTCCAGAGATGAACTTTTTTTATGGATTTTTTGTCAAAGCACTTTAGATATTCATTGCTATCGGGATGTTAAGAGCATTCCATGCAATATAACAAGTGTATCTCGAGCCGGTTTCTCAAACTTACCTACCCCACCTTTAAAGAGCCTGTGACACAGGTTTCACACATCACCCAAACCCATACATTTGAGTAAATATTGTCCCCTTGAAACCGTTACTGAACTGATTTGGGATATTTGTACTTTGATAACCATAAATCTGCCCTTCAATGTTGACCATATTCTGGATCTTCTTGGGGATTCTTCAAATCCCGCCAAATTATTACTCGTTGCGCCCTCGCTGCGAGGGGGACCCAAGTTCCCATCGGCGAAAACACGTGGGTTTGCTATCCTGGCTCCAAGATGGTGGAATGAGCTCCCCATTGACATCAGGACGGCAGATAGCTTGCACATCTTCCGGCGCAAACTGAAAACTCATCTCTTTCGACTCCACTTCGAGCGATAGAACTATTAACGAAGCACTTTTATACTAATAAAGGACTGGATTACCTAAAGCCAGTTGAGTAGCACTTGAAATGTTTAGCTCTATGAAACCTGATGTACTTATATGATTCTGTTTTCTTCAAGGTTGTGTCTTCCTGGTCGAATGTACTTATTGTAAGTCGCTTTGGACAAAAGCGTCAGCTAAATGCAATGTAATGTAATGTAATGTGTGGCGGGCACAGAGCTCCAGCTGCACCGTTCAGGATCCCAGCATCTGCATGCAAACGCACGATGGCGCACACAGCAGCAAGCTCAGACAGCGATGACAGTTTAATTTGAACGTGTCTGAGAGCTCATATGAGGCTGAAGGATCGCTTTATGTTGTATCTGTTAGAAGTTTAGGAATTAGGTGCGTCAATATGGGCGATCATACGGTCATGTAGCCAGTGGTGGAATGGGACTAAAAATCAGACCGGCCCACTTCGGTACCGCTAGTAAATTGTCAACGGGGGGAGTGGGGGATGTGCTAGTGACTTATCCGACCGGCCCACTTCGGTACCGGCCCAGCCCAGCCCACGTAAACTGTCAACGGTATCGCACCTTCTTTTTTAAGCTGACTGTTCGAGATTACTAGTAGCTCAATATTTCATTGCATTGTTGGGAGGCTGTCACAGGCTCTTTAAATGTGAGGGATCGAGGATTTCCGTTGAAATCTGGACTTAAATGATGCAGTAAATATAAGGAATAATGGCAAAATAAATCGGAACAAGAGAATACACAGACACAGACAGAGAGGGAAAAGGTCATTGGATAAAAGTTATTCTTGATAACCCTCTAGAAAGATCTCATGAACTTCCCCACTCAATCTATCAAGACCCGAGCAGTTCTATTAGATATAGGATAAGAAACAGAGAGAGGGAGCACAACAACCTATCTCTTCGTCAGATGCACTCCCCCGCTTATCTAAGCGACTCTGTACCCCGTTACCCTCTACAAGGCCATAGACCAGCAGAGGGACCGTTACCCTCTACAAGGCCATAGACCAGCAGAGGGGACCGTTACCCTCTACAAGGCCATAGACCAGCAGAGGGAACCGTTACCCTCTACAAGGCCATAGACCAGCAGAGGGAACCGTTACCCTCTACAAGGCCATAGACCAGCAGAGGGGACCGTTACCCTCTACAAGGCCATAGACCAGCAGAGGGGACCGTTACCCTCTACAAGGCCATAGACCAGCAGAGGGAACCGTTACCCTCTACAAGGCCATAGACCAGCAGAGGGAACATGGGGGGTGGGTAAGGGTTTTTAAGAATAAACCGCAAGGGTCTAAAGGGAAAAAATATGAAATATAAGGTACTATATTTTAAGTAATCCTATCTACTATTCCTATATTCGAATAATGTATAAACTATTTAAAAAATGAAGCACTCAGTACAAACTGATGAATAATGTATGTTTCAAATGATAATGTTGAAACAATAATGAGATGTACCGTAAAGAAGTGGACGACTAGTGATTACATCATATCTTTCGCTTTGATTTTATTCAAATGACTGGATAAAAAGTTACTTTTCGAGCTGCATGAGTTCCTACCTAAACGCTGCTGTGACCAAATGGAGGCGTCCAGAAGCTTCTGCATAACAATCTCCCCAAAATGAGTGATCTCCCAGCAGCGGTGTCAGCTGTGAGTGATTGTTTTTCGCTTCAAAACCCGGCTAATGGCCATTCTGCTCAGCGATCTTTAGCATGTGTTGCGTTTGGGGAAATGTCAGCGAATGTGCAATGAATCAGAGGTTTTACACAAGTGGTGATTTCTCTGAGGGGACCGGATGGAAAATAACAAAAATCCATCATAACAGTTCGTTTTTTTTTACTCGCAGAACAAAAACAACCTCCGGAGGAAGTGCTTTTTTATTTGAACGAACAAAAGCCTGTAATGTTTTTGGTGATGAGAAACAGAAAGGGACAATTACTGTTTTATTGATCAAAAGCTGATGAAACAACTCGGCCTCTTACACCTGGCCCTTTTGATGTCCATCAGGCCCTCCCTGGAGGACATCTACACCTCCCGCTGCCTCAGTAGAGCCAAAAACATTATCAAGGACAGTTCACACCCCGGCTTTCACCGGTTCAACCTGCTGCCCTCCGGCAGGCGCTGCAGGTGTATCACATCCAAAACAAACAGTTTTTTCCCAAGAGCCATCATTGCTCTTAACACCTGACATGTGAATCAATGTGACTCTGTACATATACATATATATCATTACTATTATTATTATTATAAATACACACATTACAGATTTTATTTGTATACTCCTGGAAATAATTACTGCACTTTACTCTTTATTCCTTATTCCTAAGTATGCTGCGTGTATTTTGTTGTCTTATGTTGTGATGTTTTGTTTTTGTTTTGATGGCACCCTTGAAAGGGAGAAGCATTTATCTCATTGTACATTCAACTATTCTATTCTATTCTATGTGTAATTGATACTTGGTGTTGCATATTTTACGCTGCACTCCTAACCTTCATCTTCCCCCTCAGGAGGAGCGTTGCCTTGCATTTTCACTACTTAATAATTGGTGTAGTGGTGGGAAAGGTATTCAGATCCTTCTCTTAAAGAGGCCCTTTGGGGTTATCCCTCTCCTGTAGTGTGTTATATACGTTTGTGTGCATGTAAATGGTCTGCAAAGGCTAAAATCCAAACGATAGGGAGTTTCCCTCCCACGCTCCATGCTTTATTATTACATTTATGCTTTGCTGTAATTAAAATGACTTCTGCATTAATATATGTTGCATTTTAGTGCTGTAGATGTTTAAGGTTTACACGAGAACGCAAACGGTTGTATCTGCTACCTTTCTCTCGCGTATAGCCCGTTCGTTCACACGAGGCCGTAACGGAAACGCGGAAACGGACCCCGCAAACGATAACGGGTCCCAAGGTGGATAGATCTGCAAACGGAATGCTCTGGGGGGCAAACGACTCCGTGTGTACGCCCTATACGATCATTTCCTGATAACGATGAAGCCATAGCCCCGCCTCTCCCCTCCTCTGCTGCTCACTGCTGTAGCATGGTCAGTAGCTACTGCTCCTCTACTACAACCATCAGCAACAAGTGGACATGGAGAATTACATGAACTACATGTTGCTAAATCCACCGCGGAGAATACACAGGAGGGCAACCATGCTCGGGGTCTTCTTCGCTGCTTTTGGTGTATTTTGTGGCGAAAGTACAGCGCCACTTACAGGCCCGGCATATGTACTACAGCGTCTCCAGCGCTCCCGAGCGGTCTCGTGTGAACGGAAGACTTTGTTGATATCGTATTCGGTTCGTTTGCGTTTCATATGCGTATGTGTTCGCGTGTAAATGGGGTCTAAAGCTTACTGTTTTACTTATTGTAACTCCCTAACATAATGTTGAATAGTAATCGTTGTTGCTTATCTATTGAAAACACATTTCTCTATAAACTTCCCTGTGAGGAGGATTGTTAAGTGTTTATTTAGCTTAAGAAGTACACATACAGGCCAATATATTCTCTGGTTCTTCATAAACATTCAATATTAACACGTTTGAATTATGGTTTCAATGTTGTCCTCTGAAAAGTAACTAAATGTACCTCAAAGTTGTACTTAAGGAGTTACACATCACCACTTCCTTGTATTTACCTCAGACTTCAGATCTAATATGGTGTTCAGAGGATCTTCGGTGGAGAATATTTACGTCTGTTTTTGTGTGTCTCAGGCTGGAGGGAACGGAGGATAAGTTCAGGAACAGAGAGAGTCGTCATGAAGATCTGCAAGTCATCGCTGAGCTGAAGGACATGGTGTCAGAGAGGGAATCCCTCGTCAAGAAACTGGTGGTAGGTAAACTGCTGACCAGGTAATACATGTGTGTGATAAATACCGTAAACTGAGACACTACTGTGAATAGGGTAAAGATTGTATCTAATTGATATTATGATGTAACTTCCCCACTAACTTACATACAGATAGTTTTCTTGTATTAAAGTTTCTGAAATGTTATGTTTAAATATGCAAATGAGGCATTCTCTTATTAATCTGTGCCAATTTGCATATATTTTGCATTACAGAAATCTGAACATTGGATAAAGCCAGGTTCAAAGGTTGTGTTTCTTTTTCTTGACATGTTAAAATTAAAGATTTTTGAAGTGTATATATTTTGGATATATCTTTGTGTCATCTATACATCATAAAATACTGTCAAAAGCCAAAAAGAAAAAACTATTTCACCTTGTATTCAGTAAAATAATGATATCAATCAGGCTGTGAATGGTAAACAAGCCCATTTGTAACAAAGCTTCAGAGTATTGTTCTATATACTCATGTTGAGAAAACCTCCTTTAAAGATATGTATTGTATAATCACATACATTTTGAAAGACACTTCATGGTTAAAATTGGACTAATCAATATCACCCTCAAACTTCCCCAGTTGATAACAGACATTAAGAAAATCATGTGTTTGTATTTTTGCATAAAATCACTGAAATGTGATGTTTAAATAAGTAAAAATAGGCATTATTTAAAGCAGCGGTTCCCAACCTTTTTCAGCTCAGGGCCCACTTAAGAATCTAAAAAATGTCCGTGGCCCACATTCAACCCAAGCGGCAAACTCTGGGGCAGAGCCGGGAGGCCAATAAGGAAGTGCCTCAAACTGCAGTTCATCTAGTGGCCAGTAGGAGAAGTCTGCAGAAGGGACCAATTTCCATAGATGTTAAAATGACCAACTTTACAGCAGAAATAAACATGTTTACATCGTGGTTAAAAAAAAACATATTCTCTGTATAGTTAGATTCCCCCTTCATGACTACTGTGTGGGCGGTGAATTGTTTTAGAACGCAACCCTTTTAGTTATATTAGGTCTTAATGTGTTTGCATAAATTAGGGCGTGGTCACCTTGAGTGACAGGTCTCTGCAGTGAGTGCTACTTCTAGCTTTCTGTCTCTCTGCTAGTAGCTCCGTTAGCTCAGTAAGCTCCAGGATGCTACAGGGGCTCAACTGCTGGGCTGATCCCGGGAACACAACTTGAACCCGGACGTGTTTGTTGTGTTGGTGCCTGGTGGAGTATTCTTCATTTAAATATCGGACTTATCTTATGGCTTTTGGAGGTTCCGCCTCTTAGCGCTTATTTGGATCAGGCTGGAGCAGGCGGGAGTTAGACTCTGACGTGACAGTCGAGCCGTTAGTGGCCGACTCTGCCTACTAAGGGCTTCTCGGCAACTCTGCAGAATCCTATGGGTGACGTCACGGACACTACGTCCATTTATATATACAGTCTATGATTCAACCACAATACGGAGGCTAAATAGTGTTCTGATTGGTCAATTCAGAACATGTGACACATTGTTACTCCAGTTTAACAGTCCACTGTAATGACCGTTGCTAAGGAGGATCAAGAAAGAGAAAGCAAAAGAGGTTCAAATAAAAAAAAATCTTAATAATGAAATGTTTCCACACAAATGATAATATTTTGCAAATTATTTGGCGGCCCACTTGCAATGCCTTCTCGGACCACTAGGGGGCCGCGGCCCACAGGTTGGGAACCGCTTATCTAAAGCATACTTTCAGTGAGTTCAGGAGAAACCACACATATCCAGATGGAAATAAAAATGGTGAATTTAGGATGTTTTTTCCCCACAAATCTGAAACCTTGTTATGTAAACAAAAAAAGCCCAAACTTTTAAAATTGACCAGAGCATGAAAACATGTTTTTGCCTGCAGGGTCTCCTGGTTCTTTCTTACTTTCAGGTGCAGTGGCATGGGATTCTGTTTTTGTTTTTGACAGTTTGGAGTCCTCTGAGTCTCCCTTCAGATAACATGTTATTGTTTACTTCTCCTCCAGGACGATAAGAAGTACTACCAGCTGGAACTCGTCAACAGGGAGACGAACTTCAACAAAGTGTTCAACGCCAGTCCCAACGTAGGAGTGATCAACCCGCTCATTAAGGTAGGCGCTGACTCTGAGACTCGCCACACACAGGGAGGAGCCTTTTTACCGCAAAGATGATATCCACTGCATCCCATCTCACCTCCATCCCTGCTGAGCCCTCACAGGATTGATTCATTCATTGATTGATTCATTTATTTCGAACAAGTAAAATAAATAATTACAAAAACAAAACAAATGTTGCAGTGCATAGTCATGTAAGAGAAATCAAAACAAAAAATTACATTTACAACAACAGCATTAGCAACATAAACAGTGCCACATCTAGTGTTCGAAAAGGAGTGAGAAGAAGTATAATTTATTTAATCTCACCCCCTTGTCCCTAAATGATTTATTTATAATCTATAATCTGCAATAATTTTCATTTTTATGCATTATTATTAGGGATGCACGATATTGGGTTTTTGAAACCGATACCGATAACTTCCTGCTTCTCAAGACCGATACCGATAACAAAAAAATGTTTACGCCACTAATTATTTTAACGCGATTAACGCATGTGTATTTTTTTTCCTCGGCCGCCCCGTAGTTTCAGAGCGCATCGAGTTTAAAATACCATCTACAAGCTGATGCTGACAGCCCTGCTCCTGCCGCCCGCTTGTGGCAGACCACACTTCCACGCTCACCGGAAGGCACCGACTGGCTGTTGGGAGGACCGGGAGGGTGTGTGTATGTGTGGCCCGAGAGAGCGAGAGAGAGACCTTACGTGCATTGTTGTTGTTAGCATCTGGTGCTAGCTAGCTGCGCTAACGGATATAAGGAGCTGTTTAAATGAAAACAGAGGAGCGACATTTCGCCACAACTGCACTTGACTTTATGCAGGAAGCCAGACAGTGGGACATTGTACGAAAAGTCAGCACACTCAGCACGGATAGTGCGCAACATGATTGCAGCGTCCAGGCAGCTCCGGTTCGAGCATATGCCTTGAGTTGCGTCACAGCCAGGCATGAGTTAGGGAGCGCTGGATTTGTGAAGAACTCCCCTCTTCCTAAACCACTAATACCACAGTACTGGCAAAACGGGAGGAGCCGAGTGAAAAACAAGCGCCCCTCATCCCAATCCACCCACACCGCAGTATTTATTTTCTTTTTTTTTACCCAAAACATATATTGTATATTATCGGGGCTATTAATACTGGTATCGGGTTTATCGGGATGACGTCATAATTCCTAATATCGGACCGATAATCATCGGGCCGATAATTATCGTGCATCCCTAATTATTATTGATGTTATTAGTATTATTAATCGGCTTTACCTGTTGATTGACATATATACATATACACATATACATACATTGATATACATATATGCACACATACATATACACACCTACATACTCACACATACACATTGTCAAACACAGGATCAATCAGTACTGACGGTCACTGAGGTACTGTTGCTTTGGAACAACCATAAGTCATGAGCACTACTTTCAAATGTTATTGCAATTTCCGGTAATGAATCGGACCGTTTTGAGGTCACATTTATGATGTTGCAGTGAAAACAGCAAACATTTTCAGAGTTTACAGCAAGTAGCAGATTGTGAAAGAGGCGAGGAAATTACAAAAGTGTATTCCTTTTAGTGCAACAAGAGCAAAGGAAACAGCAGCGTTATAGGGGGAAAAAAATCAGGAGGATAACGGTAGTAAAAACCGAGGTCTCATTTCTTCACAGCAAGCTACAAGTTAAAGTGATTTAAATTCAATGCAGCTCCAAATATATACAACTAGATTCACTAGGAAACTGCTCAAAGTGATCATAGTGCTTAAAGGTGGGGGAGGTAAGTTTGAGAAACCAGCGCGAGATCGCTAGAATTTGAAAATACACAACCAGAGAAAATCTGCCACTTCCTCACAGAGCTCCTCCTCCAACACACACGAACGCGCACATGACCAATGAGGGCACGAGATAAGTTTGTGCCCCGATGGAAGGCTGACAGGCAGGTAGGCCATCCAGTTACTTTAGCCGGGCCGGCTAAAATGATTGGTCGTGCTTTTTACAGCGCCACGGCTTCCACAGATGGCATTTTTTTATGGATTTTTTGTCAAAGCACTTAATGTATTCATTGCTATCGGGATGTTAAGAGCATTCCATGGAATATAACAAAAAGTGTATCTCGAGCCGGTTTCTCAAACTTACCTACGCCACCTTTAAGGTGATTATTCCGTAATTCCTCGTGTAGATTTCCATCTAATTTACATTTTTATGTTCATTCAGGGTTTTTTCGCGGATCCTTAAAAGGCTTCAAATGTTAGACTTCAAGTAGACTACAATACAGAGTGCTGTGGAAAACATGTAAAAAGGTTGGCTAACTTATCAAATTATTATTAGCTAAAACAGTACTAATACTTAGCAACAGCTCGGCTGTGTTTTCAGTGGATTTCTACATGTTTTTAAATAAGCTGTCAACGTCTAGGATAAATTAAATCATAAAATGTATTGTTTTTCAATGTTATTCTTTATTTAAAGGCTTAATGAACACTGCATTTGTGCACCATAAGCTTACCTTAACCAGCATTTGTATAGTATGGATTTTCTCTGCAGCTTTTTTACCTATAACTGTGATCACTTTATGCCATTTCCTATGTATTTATGTTCGTTTAAGTGGAATGGAAGTGATTGAAAATGACCAAACCTGTTAGAAAATTGTGTGCTCATGCAGAATGAGAATATGTTGCCGGCAAGCAAACAAAAAGTGAATCTTCCCAGTGTGTTTGAGTCGAATGGTCCCGCTGCATGATGAGTATAAATGTGTGGACCCCACCCCTCAGGTTCTATATCCTCCAGTATTTATGTTTCCCTGTTACATGTGTTTCTCCCACATGTGTGTATACGTGTCCTTTGTTCACCGTGTCCCGCTCTGACTTTTATCTCCAGCTCTCCTTTGCTTTCCAAGCCATTTTGTTAGTGTGAGATGTTTTCTGCTTCTGACACATCTCTCCTCATCTGAACCTCCATTCTGCTGCGAGCTGCTTTCAGACTGAGCCATGTCCGTCTTCAGATTCTCTCTGCTTTCGATAAATAGGATCCAGTTAGCACGCTGCTGGATGATACGACCTCTAGCACTCCATTCCCCCCCCCCCCTTTTCCCTCCATTTCTCCTTATAGTCTACTTGCCAGCAGGGTGAACCTGGAAATGTTGAGTACCACATAGGTTTATGTTAGAAATGTATAGTACGGATCCCCAACACATAGAAACTTCAGGATGCTCACAGGCAATTAGCAAACATTTCATTAATCAGCATTAATTAGCCTATGCAGACAATAGCAAAAATAACTTGAAGGATTTGGATAATTTTGGTGTTGTTTGAGGTTATTGAAGATGCTGAATACATTTCTGACATTATCAGGATAGTAAATGGCAGTTTTGGTTCCCCGAAACTTTAAAAAGGACCCGAGATTCCTCAAATTCAGCCCACCAGGAGAACAAATATGACCACTTTCTGGTTAAAACTGCCATTTCTGAACCTGAAAATGTCAGAACTGGATTCAGCATCCTCAAGAACTTACAAAACCACTCCAAAATTGTCCAAATCGACCAATTCATTTTAAACTATTGTCTGCATAGGCTAATAATTCATGCAATTTACGCTATTTGTGCAAATCGCCCAACATATAATAATAATGCATTTTATTTATCGAGTGCTTTTCAAGACACTCAAAGACACTTTAGAGAGTACAAATTCATTATAGTTAAAACAACACACTTAAAATATATAAAACACAACATTGATGACAGATTAGTTTTAGTTTTAGCTGTTTTAACTTTTAAATGCACTGTAAGGCGACCTTGGGTGTCCTGAAAGGCGCCTCGAAATAAAACGTATTATTATTATTATAAGCAGTTCTGAAGAAGTGCGCATGCTCCATTTCTATAGAGCCGTACTCTACATTTCTTTCATGAAACTTTGTGGAACTCAACATTTCCTCGTTCACACTCGCACTCTATGATCTGGCAAACGGACTATAACCTTTTATTATTATTTCCTTTTCAAACTTCCCTTTTTTGACCCCCGTGCCCCTCCTTTTTTCTTTTTTTTGTCTGTGTAGCAAAAGAAAAAGAATGAAAAGGCGGCAGGCAGCAGATTCAGCAGCTCTCCTAGTGTCAGGGCTCTGGAGGCGGCGGGTTCAGGAAGTGGGCCGCAGCCCCCCCATCCTCCGCCCCCCCTCCCAGCCCAGCCCGGCCGCCTAGAGCCCCTCCCCAACTCCCCCCTCCACCACCTTGAACTCAACTCCAACAAACCTCTTCCCCCGCCGACCCCTCCCACCGAACCCAAGAAATTCATGAGGTGAGACCCTCCACCATCCAATCACAGACCTCCGTTTAACTGTAGATGTAAAAGATTAAAGTTCACCTATTATGCTAAACCCACTTTTTCATGTCTCTTCTACATCAACATGTGTCCCCTCTGTGTGAAGAGACTCTGAACGTTTCAGGAACAAAGACCCCCTCTCTTTTTGTCCTGATCCATTTCTATAAAAACCTGTCTGAAAATGAGCTGATCAGATTTTGGCCACTTTATGATGTCATAACAATGTTTTGGCTTGTGTACCCATTAGCCAATCAGCAACCAAGGTAACCCCCCCCCCTCTTATCACCTGAATCTCCTCCTAGAGCACCATTGTGTTCTTTTTAACCAAATGTCTCTCAGAGGGGCGTGGGGAGGGGCTCCTTATTTTCATCTAAAGTGACAGACAGAGAATCAGCACTTTGGAAACAGGGCTGAAACAGAGGGGATTATGGGTAATGCCGCAATGATCTGTTTGGTGTTTGGAGCCAAACACTTCAGAGACATGTTCTGTATATATCTGAGACCTATACTAAAGTAATGAAAAACAGCACAATAGGGGACCTTTAAAGCACTTTAAATGAGTCTGGGTCTGACTTTGAATGTAAAAACTGTACTTTGGGCCTTTTGTGCCTCAGATTTGAAGAAAAAACCACCAGATCTTTGTTGTTTCTGATTTTAAAAAAGAAACAGTGGGACAATATCTGGAGGTTTACATTTTCATTCCTTCCTGCCATAAACCATAAGGAGCATGAAGTCATTGTCATCTCGAGCGGCAGAGAGTAAAAACCGAAGAGCTAATGTGTTGTAACTGACCGACCGCTAATCGTTAGCTCCTTCATTTGTAATGCTACGCCTGTGTAGCTTTCCGCTGCTGTAAAAGTTGAACTACACCCCAAAACGATGGCAGATATTCATTCTCAAATGATCAGTTATAGTAATATTGATATGAGTCAGAAGTAGAAAGAAAAAACTCTTCAACTTCCGCGTTAAAACCGATGCTAATTAAACCAAGGCAAGTATTTTTATATATCGCACATTTTCATAAACTCAATGGCAACTCAAGGAGCTTTGCATATTGATGTGTAAAAACACATGAAGGAGAAATACAAATATTTTTGACAAATAAATAACGGACCCATGTAGCAAGAATCAAAGGGCTTAAAGAACACAGATAAAGACAGAGGAACGATGCCAAATACAGAAGCAGAAGAAGCTTAACGTTAGCCTTGACTCTGATATGGTAGCATTAAGAGAAATACTACTCAGTGGATTCAATCGTCATGAACAAGCTTTTTTTTAAATGTCAATTTTAACCCCAGGTAAAAATGTAGCTTTCAATGTCTCGGGGGCTTTACTTTGAAGGTGGTTAGCTGGACATGCTAACATTAGCACAGCTTAAAACCTGTTAAGCCCCAAAGACCCCGCCGGCGGGGCTTTTTTTTTTTTTTCACGACACTGTATCTCAGGGCTTCTTAATATTAAAAAAATATGAATGCGTCATACCCTCCTAACGGGAAGAAGCTCAGCTAACTGATGATACGAACCATTTTTACCGAAACAAAACACAAGTCTCACAAGAAGGGTCTAAATGAGCCCTGAGCGAAAACATGCTAACGCACTTAGCACAAAACTCTAGGTATAAATCGATCGATATACTTATCGGATCTGCACAAACAAGCTTAGCTAACATGCTGAGATTCCACAGATTATAGAAGTATAAGTATCATCACTGAGCGATCAGAACTCGCGACAGGGGAAGCAAATACAGACATCACACAACGTAGCTAGCAAAACACGGAGATATGCTCACCTTGTTATTCTGATCAAAAGTTGTTTTTTTGGACGGACACAATAATTTACATTTTTTTACTATGTTCAATCTGAATTTACTTTAAAATAAAAAATAACTATATTGATTCTGACTCTTCTACATCCAACTCACAGGTTTATCATTGCTTTGAGAAAAAAGATTATTAATTTTCCCCTTTTAGAAGTGAAGTTATAGTCATTTGTTCTGGGAATGTCCTTTTCGAGCCTGAGACCTCTCGGGGCTCAACAGCTTAAAGCAGAAAGGAGTTAATAAAAAGAAACCAAACTTTTAAATATTGAGTATTATTACTTTTCTCACATATCCTGTTTCAGTGTTTCGTAGCCACTTAGCTTGACGATTGCTATTGAAGCAGACGAGTGACCGACTGAAACTCTTTTCAGATTAAAGGACAATACTGAGAGACGTCACAGGTCTTGACTAAAAGAGATAAAATAATCATTGTACATTAACACGAGTCCCGACGAAGCTTCAGAGAATGGCCTTGGAATGCAAAAGGGGCATGTTATTATTATTTAGATGTTGTTTTGTGTCCTCTCCAGTCCGTCATGTTTCCGTGTGCATGCTGCAGGTTTCCCTCTTCTGTTCAGGAAGTTATCAAACTTGCTGTAAATATCTGTGTGGCTTTTTTACGTTGTCTTCATCCTCTCATCTTCATCGGAATTTCAGTACTTTTTCTCTTCAACTGGAAATGGGATTTTTTCAAAATAAAACCAAAATATGAAGTAGATATTGTCTCTTGCTATCATGGACTGTCCCCTCTGTGTGTGGTGGTGTTTTATTTTGAAAAGCAGGTTTTACTTCTCGACTCTTTGGTCCATAAATGCTTCTCTTGTTGCTTACTGGTGTGTGTGTGTGTGTGTGTGTGTGTGTGTGTGTGTGTGTGTGTGTGTGTGTGTGTGTGTGTGTGTGTGTGTGTGTGTGTGTGTGTGTGTGTGTGTGTGTGTGTGTGTGTGTGTGTGTGTGTGTGTGTGTGTGTGTGTGTGTGTGTGTGTGTGTGTGTGTGTGTGTGTGTGTGTGTGTGTGTGATACTGTGTGTGTGCGTGTGATACTGTGTGTGCGTGCGCGTGATACTGTGTGTGTGTGTGATACTGTGTGTGCGTGCGCGTGATACTGTGTGTGCGTGATACTGTGTGTGCGTGTGAGAGAGAGAGTGTGTGTGCGCGCGTGTGTGAGAGAGAGAGAGTGCGTGTGTGTGTGTGTGTGTGTGTGAGAGAGTGTGTGTGAGAGAGAGAGGTTGTGTGTGTGTGTAAGAGAGAGAGAAAGATAGATAGTGTGTGTGTGTGCGTGATACCGTGTGTGTGTGAGAGAGATTGTGCGTGTGATACCGTGTGTGTGTGTGTGTGAGAGAGAGAGAGATAGTGTGTGTGTGTGTGAGAGCATGTTTTGGTTACTTTGACTCTTTCTTGCTGCATGTTTGAGCTGCTGTTTATGTAAAGTATGAGATGTGGTGGCTGCTACGCAAAAGCTTTGGGACTAACCTGTTATTACGGGAAGGCAGGAGCAACACACACACACACACACACACACACACACACACACACACACACACACACACACACACACACACAGACCATGACAGTATGAGGTCAGATATTATAGATGTGCTCTGAAATGACTCCATTAAACGATGTGTCTCTCGCTCCATGCACTGACAAACCTTTGGAGTCAGACTGACTGACCCTCTGAGCAGCCGGTTGTAAATCTGACCCCTTTAAACCACCGGGTCCTTGAAGTATTTATTGAAGTATTCATATCTTCATGACTTGTATTAGACAACACACCTTATCTAAGTCAAATGTTAACATGAGTCCCAACAGGAATACTAAATAGTGAGCCAGACAACAGAGACCTTCGTCATTAGAATAGGGTTATCGTTGATACTATACTAAAACTACAAATTAAAGATTTACTTTAGCTTGAAACTCAAAATAAAAACGATATTGCTTTAAAAAAATAAGATTAATTAATATTGAACGGTTAATGTTTGCTTTAACTTTTTTCGATAAAATACATCTCTACCAAAATAAAAGTGACAGCATGAATTTCAGTCATCTCATTGAACAATAGGAATTGAAATGGCTTCACTTTAGACTAAAGTAATGTGAAGGTTAAACATGTATTTTGTGTATATATATATATGGTAACCTGCTTCTTTACATGATAGCTGAAAAAAGAAAATGAAACTTACCTAAATCAAATTCTCTTTGAAAAGTAATATCAAATTGAAAAGTCAAAACTAACCTAAAATCCTCTGAGCTGCTGATGAACCTTGTTACCTTCACTCTGACAGAAGCAGTGCACTTGTTCCTGATACATGTAAAACACAACAAGCTTTCTCCATTTTCGATTCAGATTCTCTTTTATCAAAAGACAACAAAGAACATTTGAATGCTGAAATTGCACAAAAACAAACATGGTTCCTTTGCTGATCATGATGGGACTGTTGGGCCAGACAAACATTGTGAAGGATAGTAATATGCTTTTGATTGTTTTTGCTTTTAAATGAAGGATTTAGCTGCCGTCTCCCTCCTTACATCACATCCTCACCTCCTCTCCTCTGATGTTCTCCTTCCTCTTTCTCTCTTATCTTCTTCCTCTGATCTTCATTTATCATTTCATCCTCTGCCAATCTCTTTTATCATGTCCTCTCTCCCTGTATCAACATCAAAACATCACTGCTGCCATTTCCATTCTCTTCATCTCTTCTCTCATTGCACATCATCATAATCTCTATATTTGTACATAAATAAATGAAGAAAATCATATTTGATGGATGAATATTATTTTTACTACAACTTAATGCACATACACAGTGAATAGGACACTTTTTTTCTTCAGATTATTATTATTCTATACTGTAGACATCTTGGTGTTTTCTGTATATATTCTTTTAAAAGATATGAACACTTGTCATGGCCCTACTCCCCCTCATGGATCAATAAGGAGTCATGTTATCTTGCTCAGACCCCATTTACACGGGAACGTTTGCGTTTACGCACCGCAACAACCCGTAATAAAAATGTTTTAACAGAAACTCTGCCGCGCGGTCCCCTCGTCCCTTGGAAGAGGCGGAGAGGTGGGTGTTTTTTATCTGCTGGTGGACTACCGGAGAGATCTACAGCAGGAGCACACGCCGTCCACCGCGGAGAATAAACAGAAGGGCAACCATGGCAACCATGCTCCGGGGCCTTCTTCGCTGCTTTTGGTGTATTTTGTGGCGGCAGCAGCGCCACTTACAGGCCTGGCGTATGTACTACAGCGTTTCCAGCATTTCCAGCGGTCTAGTGTGAACGGACACGTTAATTGAGCCGAATGCGTGTGAACCATAGACTGTAGCCTATATATAAAGGTATGAACGGAAGACTTTTTTGAAAACGCATACGGTGCGTAAACGCAAACGTTCCCGTGTAAATGGGGTCTAAAATTGTAACCATTTAGCATGAAGTTGCATTAAAAGACAGCAAAAAATGATCATTATCACAAGGTAGATTCCACAAATTCTTCTTCATGGTGGATAGAAAGCTACAGGTTTGACTTAATATAAGTAATCTAGTGTGCAAATTAATATTTTATGTATGAACACCAGAATCCTCTGAGTCTGAATTATGGCCATGCACTGTGCAAACACGCTTTATCATGCAGGGAAGCCTTTTCCAAAGTAATTGACTCCTTCAAGCATGGAAACAACATAAACAAAAAAGAGACCCCCCCCCCTGCCCCTCCTTAAAAAATGATATATCGCCCAGGGGTTATGGGACTGTTTGTAAAAAGGAGAATCCAATTAAGGAAGCAGAGGAAGGTGTTTGTTTTGATAGATGCAAACACTCAGCCTCATTATCTCCAAACTTTTAAGGAACAACATGTTTTCCCCCGAGGAGCGAACAGGAAGTAGCTGCAGATTCACACGACATTTTACCGTCAAAAAATATATAGTTTAAATACTTTAATGATGGTTGGTGGAAAGTATCTTTGCACACACACACACACACACACACACACACACACACACACACACACACACACACACACACAATCTCTCACACACACACTCTCTCTCTCTCTCTCTCTCTCTCACACACACACACAATCTCTCACACACACACAATCTCTCTCTCTCTCTCACACATAAACAAACAAACACACAATCTCTCTCACGGTCTCACACACACACACACAATCTCTCTCTGACACACACACATACACACACATTTAAAAACCAGAGACAGTATCTGATTGCACAGGGCTGAAATCATAAGTCATTTATTATAGGCCCATTACATGCTAACAGTGACAAATATATTCTGAACAGTAAAGCACAAAACATGCAGTCTCAAATATTGAAGTAACAGTTACATCATGTATTAACCGTGAAAGCACTCAATATATAAAAAGAAAATGTCCCCTGTGACAGATTGACTATAATATCATAATTATTGCATTTATTCTTTTAAATGATGGACAGTAAAAGTCATAGGTAAAAGTGCATACTTTATACAATTTGTAGCAAATATTTTTAAAAACAACCCATACAAGCTGAGCTCACAAATACTGATAATGGCTCTGCTGCCCCCTTGTGGACAGACATGTGTAATGACACCTTCACACAGATCTTAACAATCTTACATTTTGTTTTTCTTCATGGTGGTATTGCAGTACTGTGTTTGTGGGTACGTCCATATAGCAAACTATTTCAATTCTGTGATTAATACTTTTTTAGATAATATGTCACCAAAGAATATGCACAACTATTTTAATGATGTATTGCATTTATAGATACAAAGACTACTGGGTTGATAGACAATGTGCTAGTTCTGCATCATATCATGCCTTTTATTTTATGTTAAAAGTACGTAAGGCTTGTGGACACATGTAGCGGAGTACAAATATGCAATATTTCCCTTAGAGATTTAGCGGAGAATAAGTATACAGTCTCAGAAAATAGAAATATTTGAGTGTACCTCAACATTGTACTGAAGGCAAGTTTATTTAGACAGCTTATTTCAACACAAAGCAATTCAAAACACTTTACAAAAACAATAGCAGTATTAAGATATAGTGCACAGAAACACAAAGGGCATTTAAAATGACGTGTTGAGTGTGTACTTGGTTACTTTGCATCACTTGTAAGGTAATAGTTTTATCAACAACATTTGTTACGATGTTCTTATTTATCAGTGTTTTCAATGTGTTGTTCTCTGCTGAAACTTCCTCTGGCTCCTTCCCTGACTTCTCTTCTTCTGTCTTTACTTCCTGTTGTTGTTATTGTTGTGGGGATGTTTCTTTCCTGAAGCCCTCCTGAAACGAAGGACTCAGCCATCGAGTCCCCGGACGCCCAGCGCCAGGAGTGGTTCGCTCAGTACTTCTCCTTCTGATCGACCACCAACCCGCAACACACAAGGATTCAGCATGTCAACCAAACTTTGAGAAAAATGTACAGAAAAACAAGCGAAGAAGAAAAAAAAAGCGGAAAATGTTAAAAACTATTTGTTCTTTATTGTCATGGAGAGATTTGGGGATCAATTCACTTTAACTTCAGCCAATTAGGACTTCATTCTCATTCATTTGCTAAAAAAACAATGTAAATATCATCCACTTCCTGTTGACTGAAGTAGAAGTAAAGTGACCATCAAATCCCATCACTCTGATCTCATTTGATTGTTTAATTATTGATTGTTTCACTGTGGGCGAGTTTTTCTCTTAGTACAGTGACAATGATCATCCGTATGTTTGATGTTTTCTTTTCTTTAACTTCCTAACTTATTTTGCAGTCTCTTGGAACTAGAAAAAAAATGCGTGGTGCATTATCATGCTGCTAATTGCCATTGTTGGACTACAGTGAGAAATAAATATATATAAAGAAACATATGGTAGGTTATTGTGCTCTCTCTGTACGTGGGCCCACTGCATACAGCATCTTAGAATTATAGGAGGTGTTTACGGAGACATTTACCTGGACCTGGGTCTCTGATATCGCTCCATGAATACAGCAAAGTCTTTAGGACGGCACCATCCAGTTTGTTACAGCTAGAAGTTTCAGCAGATTTTGGTAGAATATTAAAAACCTGTTTGTATGGTTGTCTGTTTCAACACAGATATAATGATGTCTCACCAATTTTAAAAACAAAAATAGCATATTTTATATTTATATTATAATGTGTATGCTTAATAAATAATTATTGTGACATTTATTTTGGTTTGTTCGTCATTTATTTGATTGTGGTTTACATTGCATTTAACGTAATGGAAATACAGGGTTTTGAAGTACGAAAATTAAGAAAAATAATTATACAAGGAATATAATAAAAATTCAAAATATGTTTAAAAATCATTTAGAAATATATGTTCATTCATGAAAGAGCTATATAAGAATATTACAAAAAGAAATACAAAAATGTAATATGCACAGTGTTTTATTAGCACTATTTGTATATCTTAGATTGTATATTTTATTTGCACTAGGACCTCAATCTGTTTATACAAGTGCTCTCATATTCCTAAATATTGTATATCAAACAGACATTATTATATTCTGTTAATATTTTAATCTTGATGCCATTTTTTGCTTAAAAGTGCTACATACAAAAAACTAATAATTATGATAATTCCTTAAGGGCTTCAGTAAGAGAATAAAAAGCCAACAAATAAAAATAACATTAGTATAAATGGATTATAAACTGGTACCAGAGACAGAATGTATATTTTACAATCACGTTCTAAAAGTAACCAGTAGAGTGCAGTGCCGTTTTAATACACATTGGGTGAACCGGAAAATAAACAGACCCTGAATCTGTTCCCGTGCAAGCTAAAAACACATTTGACAGGAAGTAAAACATTGATTTATTCACCTGCAGCACTGCAAATAAATCTCACGTTTTCATGATCTGAAGCCCAGTTGTGGATGTTAAAGAAGCATCACTACTGTCAATCTCCACAACATTGGGTGAACCGGAAAATAAACAGACCCTGAATCGGTTCCTGTGCACGCTTCAAAACAAAACAAAACAAACATGGCTGCTACAGGAGCCGGTTCTCCGGGGCGGCTGGTCCAGTATGTGGTCGTCCGGACGGACCTGGTGCACCAGCTGTCCTGGCCCCTGGGAGCCGTGATCACCCAGGCCTGCCACGCCGCTACGGCCGCCATACACCTCCACTACCGGGACCCGGAGACCCAGCAGTACCTGGAGGAGCTGGATTCCATGCACAAGGTGGTGCTGGGGGTAAGCACGCCGAACTACATTCATATTTTTGGTGAATTTAATGTTTACAGTGTTATATGGTTCATCACAAAATATTTTATGATCAGTTCAATTGTGTTTGGTTAGTTGTGTTATTCGGCAACATTCATTTAACCCTAAAGGGAAACTAATTTGACTTAAAAGTGTTATTTAGACCAGTTTGAACGAACTACACAGCAATATTCTAGTGTTCTATGTTAGTGTGTACAGTTCCTCACAAAACATCCAATAGCACATTATAATCTAGTGTGGTTCATTGTTTTATTCGGCAATATTCAATTTACTATAAAGTGTTATTTTTTTTACCGATTTTAACGAGCTACACAATAAAAAAAATTTCCACCATTTTTTTTTTTTCCACTATTTGTAACTGGTTATTGTTTAATGTCTTATATATATTTATGTTGCATTGTTGAAGGAGACTGGGACTTCATATTTGTATTGCCTTAACTACACTGTAGTGTCCATATGACACGTGAAAAAAGGGTACAAAGTGGTGCCTCACTAACTGTAACTGTGTGTGGTTGTTTTTCTCCAGGCTCCAGACGAGGCCGCCCTCTCTAATCTATCAGAGACTCTAACAAAGGCCGGTGTGGCCCACAAACTGTGGATCGAACAACCAGAGAACGTCCCCACCTGCCTGGCTCTGAAGCCGTGTGCCAAAGAGACCGTCCAGCCGCTGCTGCGCAAGTTCAAACTCTTCAAATGAGGGCCTTTTAAAGACATTGTCCCGCTACGCACTACAGAGCATATCAGGATCTAATTTCATCTATTAAAGGAAAACATCTGTGCTCTTTTCCTCGGTGCATCCAAACATCTGTAATGTTGAAGATTAAAGTGGGGAAAATATGAAGTTCTTTTCTGGATTATTTTGTTCGGATGAAAACCCTCAAAAGTGGCATTCCTTCTGCAGTATTGACATTGCAACTTCATTTAGAGCAGGGGTAGCCAACACGGTGCCCGCGGGCACTCAGTCGCCCGCAGGGGCAACGTGAGTCGCCCGCACGCAGGGGCAACGTGAGTCGCCCGCGGGGCATGTTCTAAAAATAGCTCGCCAAGCAAATCCAAAATGTATAAAATACACAAAACAAAAAAGGAAATGTAATTAAAAGAATCTACCCTATGCATAAACGACACATAAATCATAGCGAACTCTATCTACTTACTACAACTCTATATCTAACGCCCCTCCTCCCCCACCCCCACAATGAATATCGACCAATCACGTTCTTGCTTGATTTGCGGGACCAGCGTTGCAGTCGGGAAGAAAAGCAATGTGGCACCTCCCCGCTGATTTTCCTTCTGGCAGAATCAACACAACACATCAGCCCCATTGAACAGCCTATCATGCCAGCCTATACAGCACATGAGGGGCAGAGTTTTACTCTGTGTGTTGTAACTTGCATATATAGTTATTCCACTTGACGCACACACACGCATGGCGTAATCTCCACTGGGGACAGGGGGGGGGGACATGTCCCCCGCACTTTTCGAAATCCCGTTTGTGTCCCCCCACTTTACAAATATGTTTATTATTTTTTAACACAAGCCGTCCTCGCCACGGAGGAGCACACAGTCTCTGTGAGCGAGCGATACAGAGGGAGAGAGAGAGAGCGAGGGAGGGAGGGAGAGAGAGAGAGCGAGAGAGCTAAGGAGAGCACACTTTTATCTATGTAATATAGATAAAGTAAGAAATCATTCCAATGTGTACTATAGGACAGTACAACAAACAGTTTAAAGGGGAATGATTAGTAAAATATGCATAAATAAAAAGAAAGAATGCTAACTACTAGGTAACATTGGTTGTGATAATATTCTAAAGATGATTGGAGTATTGAAAAGTATACATCTCCCTTTCATCTGAGAGTTGAGAGCTGTATCCATAAATTCATGTTGTGCTCAAAGTGCACCAGATTGATGCATTTCACTTCAACATTTTAAAAAACATCTTCCCGGGGGTGCATGCCCCCGGACCCCCCTAGAGGAGGTGAGGACCCCCCCAATAAAGCAGGTTCAAATAATTAAATTGCATACATTTTCTTTGAGTAAACACTGAAAACGGGTCCCACAGACCCAAACAGCACACACAGGTTAAAGGTCAGCATATAATAATGTTAAAATGTGATAAATATATACACTGCAAAAAACAAAAAAAAGAGGAGTAAAAGTAGCCCCCGACTTGTTTTATTTTTTAAAAGTAGCCCTCATCCTAAAAAAGGTTGGTGACCCCTGATTTAGAGAGATACATCAATTCCATGTTTTTACACAGTGCACTACATACAGTTTGTGGACCTGCATTACCTCCAATCCCTCCTTTTTGATCGTTGCTCAAATGCAATAATCTTGAAAACAGTCTTGGTTGTGTTGTAAAAAAAAATACAATCTTACTTAGTTTTAGTTAAGGGAACAAACTCTAAGGTCACTCTAAGGAACAGTAAGGACTTGATCTCAAATAGTTGAAGACCATACCTCATCATTTGAAAGTAGCTGCCTTAAGTCCTGACATACTTGCATTTCCAAAAAAACAGACTATAATGCTTTCGAGGTGTGTGTTAAAGGTCCCATGTCATGGCCATTTCTACTGATCATATTTCCATTGTTGAGGTCTACTAGAATAGATTTACATTGTTCAATGTTCCAAACTCACATTGATTTCTCACAGCATCTCTGTATAGTATGTGTATTCACTCTCTGTCCTAAACGGCTTGTTGGAGCTCCTGCCCCCCCCCCCCCTCCCTGTGAGCCCAGTGTGCTCTGATTGGTTGAGCTGCGAGCTGCTGCGAGGAGCGGACAGGTTTCCGGGTCGGCGATACAGCGAGAACAAGCGAAACTCATCCTGAGCACACTCACAGCCGAAGTAAAAACAATAAGTGTGGCTTGATATTGAGTAAGAAGGTTTATAACGCTGTGAGAATGGGTCTGCGGAGAGCATTTCTCCGCCATCCCAACTCGTCTATTACCAGCGTTCAGGGAGCTCTTTGCAAGTCAATGGGACTCCCTGCTAGTTAGCCAAGGGGTCCTGGTGTGTGAGGTGCTCCGCTACGTGTGAATACCCAAATCAACAACAAATGACCGGATTGGCCCAAATGGACCAATCCGGTCATTTGTTGTTGATTTGGGTGTTCACACGTCACAGGAAGTAAACAATGTAAAAAGAAAAATCTCCAACAACGAGGCATTCTGGGGCAGCATGGACACGTCTTCTCTGTGTTAGAGTTTTACTCGCTACAGGGTGTACTTTGAGGGTTTGTGACTCTGCAGACCGTTCACATGCAGAAAAAGCTACATGACACACAAGGGGACGGGTGATAACCGGAAAAGCATGACATGGGCCATTTAAGTCGTCTATTTTGAGTCCTGACATACTTACATTTACAAAAAAACAGACTACTGCTTTCGAGGTGTGTGTTAAGTAAGAGAGAAAAAGATAAAATAGGGTTTTTCAAATGATATTGGGGACACTTATTTCCCATAATGTTAATACATACAGGTTTAATACATCTCATTTCTACAAGGAGTACTAATCTTCACAGTGAAAAGGGAAATCCCTCCAGCGACAAACAAAATGTTTTCGTGAGTCACTTTTAATCTGATTATAACTTCTAAGTAAATCTTTAGGTGGACAT